ACGAGGCAAGCCCTCTACTATGGAGCTACCTCCTCACACTGTACAGTAAGTTATGTTAGTATAAAGACATAAGGCCAGGCTAGGGGCTGGATTTTAACCACTGAAGTTAAAAAAGTTCACCCCATTATTCAGTGTCCACCCCACTCCTGGAAGGAAGTCTGTCATGGATTGAATTGTGCCTCTCCAAAGCACATATGATGAAGTCTTGGCATGCAGTACCTCGAGATATGACTCTATTTGGAGGTAGGGACTTTTTTTGCATTTAAAAATTATATTGGTATACTTTAGATATACATAATGATCACATTGATCATAAGGAATTTGTACCTGTACATTATATATCTTGATTCTTCTTTTCCCATTCTCTTCCCCCTTCAACTCCTTTCCCTCCTGATTTACAAAAGCATTGTTTCCATTTTTCCTTCAATTCTTTTTTCTTATCCCTTCTTTCCTTTTTCTCTCCCTGCTCCTTTGTTCCCTTTCTCATTTGAACATTTTTCTCCCATTTTTCCTAGTATCTGTTATGCATTTTGGTTCTCATTTACACATTTGGTTTCTCACAGCAGAGAAATAATGTGGTATTTACATATGTGGTTTCAATATATTTCACTTATGAGTATGGTCTTAAAACACATATTTAGCTAGGAATATTTCATGTTTATCTTTCTTTATGGCTGAGTAGTACTCCATTATATAAAAAGACCACATCTTCTTTTTTTTTATCCATTCATTGGCTGATGGTCATTTGGGCTGTGTCCAAGATTTAGCTGTTACAGATTGTGCTGCTGTAAATATAGGTTTATACACATTACTGTAGTAAGATGCTTTTAATTCTTTAAGGAACATACCAAAAAGGGGAATAGCTGGGTTGGATAGAGCCCCGAGTTGCAGTTTTTTGAGGAATATCCACACTGTTTTCCACAGTGGTTGCATCAGTCTACACTCTCACCAATAGTAGAAAAGGGTTCCATTTTCCCCATGGCCCTGCCAGCATTTGTTGTTGGTTGATTTCTTGATAATAACTATTCTTTCTAAAGTGAGATGGAATTTTGGCTCTGTTTTTGTTTTTGTCTGTCTTTTTCAGACAGGAATTTACCCTGTAATTCAATGTCTTCAAGTGTTTACCTATTCTATCTTCCAGAAGGTTTAATGTTTCTTTTTCAACCTTTAAGTCTTTGATCCATTTTGAGAGAAACCTTTAACAATGGAATGAAATTAAAATAGAGTGAGCCCTAACTCAATATGACTGATGTTACAAGAAGAGACATTAGAAATATGCCTGTGCAGAAGAATGGCAAGGTTTAGATACAGCAATAAGACAGCTATCTACAAGCCTAAGAGAGAAGCCAGGAGAAAACCAACTCTTCCAACACCTTGAACTTGGACTACTTTCGAATGTTAAGCAAACAGGTAAGTAGCAATAATTATTCTCATTTTCTAGATGACAAAACAGACTTGGAGATTTTAAGAAATTTTCTCAAGGTGTCATATTCAGGGAGTGGAGAAATTTGAGTCATCTTAACTCCAAAGTCCTTGGGTCTGTTTTAACTCTGGCTTGGTGTCTCTCTCTGCCCTTTTCAGGGATACATTTCCTCTATTATTCACTAGTTTTCCTCTACCTCACTTCTGTCAAGGAATTCCATGGCCTTTGGTATCTAAAGTAGCCCTTTGTAGTAATCTACTGAACATGATTATCTTTTAGCGTACATCTCACTTCTGAGTGCTAACCTTCTTGGAATCCTTAAGAAAGGAAAGACAAACCATCAACTCACTCCCAGGGAAAGTGTACCTACATACAATGTGTTGATTACAATGGACTTGAGTTAAAATTGATTTATCACTGACTTACTCTCTTGTAATAGTAAAAAAAAGATGCCTTGCCACAGTTCTTTTTCTAGAAGCCTTGCTAAATAAATGGTTATTTTTATATGTATCAGGGAATTCTTATAGATAGATAGAAGACTGATTCATTTACTCATTCATTTCATATGTACTTTTGATTGCCTACCATGTATAAGGCACGAGACTAAATCATATTGGATTTCAAAAGGGAATTTTATACTACCCAGCTCTCAAGATGTTTCCAAACAAGAGTCACAAAAACTCAGTTTTGATATTTGTGTTAGTTACCTCTTTCCATTGTATTTAACATTGAAAGTCACAAAACTATAGCTGCTACAGGTTTTTTACTACTATGATGAGACACCTCGCCTGACATTGAAGCCAATTAGGAAAAAAAAAAAAAAAAAAAAACCCAGCACAGGTCAGCAGAGAGGGAAAGAAACTGTGTCCATGACAGTTTTATCTCTTGCATTAACCTATACCCATGGCTAACCTCTATTATTAAATCTAATATTATTCCCTTCCCACTTAAGTCAGGTTGAGTTCTGTTTTTTGCTACAAGCTCTCAAAATGGTTGTAGTGAGGGAGGAGAACAAGAAGTCAACAAGAAGCAAGCCCTCCCTGCGAATCAGTGTTGTTGGGTTGGGTTTTATTCTGTTTTTCTTTTTTCATTTGTTTGTTTGATTTTACTATATCAGATGGTATGGGCAACTATTTCAAAGATAACAGGATATATTATGGTAGTTATTTTGGATTTATTATTTATATTATGGTAGTTACTTTGGATTTACTATTATCTTGCTTTGAAGTCCTTTATTGTATTCATTGTTTGTTTTTATCAGTTCTACTCTGTTCTGTTTTGTTTGATTTTTACTATGTCTGAAGGTATCTGCAGCTATTTTGAAGATAACAAGAGGCATTATGGTAACCATTGTTGATTTCCTGTTGTTTTGAAGTTCTGTGTCACACTGGTTTGTTTGATTGGCTTTATTCTGTTTTATTTTGCTTGGTTTATTCTCTTTAAAATAAAAATGTAAAAATTTTTAAGAAACAAAAATGGTTCTAACATAGAGAAGTCTTTCTTTTATTGTTTTAACTTCTCAATCTCTTTCAAATGTAGTCTCAAGGATTCTTTATGCACCCTAAGAATTCTCTACACAGGCTGAAAGTAGGCATCTAGTTTACCACTAGGATACTGCTGAATCTCTTCCCCAGCATCTTTTACTGAAGCAACAACATTCTACCATCTTCTGAGGCAGTGAGAGGACAAGAAAGGTCAGTATAAGACAGGCTGAATTAATAGTACATTAGCATCTGAGGCCACATGGACACTCACTAGAAAGGTGGCTGCAACGAAATGCTCTTCAAAGAGCCCCAGCTAAAACTTTCAGGAGGAGTCTTGGAATACAGGAACCTCTGCAGTGTAAGTGCCAAGAGTCAAAGAGGTGGTCATGTAGAGTCAACCAGAAATGGTTGATGCAGAGGTTCCCAGAGTTCAGCTGTCTGTTATAACAAAGGAAAGTCAATGAACAAGAAAGAATTTAAAGTAGCACCAAATATTTTTAAAGTTCTTTTAATTTCTCTTTACCTGCCCAGGTGAAAGGATTACAGAAGCAAAGGGCAGGAGAGGAGGTGAAAAAGAAAGAATGGATAGTTTTTCCTTTATCATCCCTTATGTCAGCCCAAGATGAAGGAAAGAAAGAATATTTAATTGAATGTCAAATAGAAGTTTGATTTGGGTTGGACTCCTTAATATACCTGAATGTGAGACTGTTTTAATACCTCAACAGGCCTGGAAAGCTAAGAGATTTTCAAAGAGGTGTTGAATCTTAAGAATATGTGTAGAGAAGGATGGAAAGAAAAAAAAAATAAAACTACTTGTGATTGAACCCTACTAAATTTAGACAGTTCTACACACAGGTTATATATACCATATATATACCATACCATATATATCATAGTCTTATCTAGAAGTAGACCACAAGATACAGCACAATATAACTCGTCTTTATATTTACTATCAAAAAGATTCTTCTATAAAGATCCTTGAAGAAGTATATCTATATAAGCTTGGTATCATAGGCATACTAAACTGCTTTGATCCAACTAGTAAACCAAATGAATGAAAGGGGAAGTGAGAAAGGTCCACTCTGTGTGACGTATTTATCACTGACATGGTTTATACTTGCTGATACATGGTTATTGTTATGGCTTGTGTCTAGATGTCCCCCAAAAGCTTCATGCAGTCGTAGCCAGGGCTTTTTCAGATTTGGCTGAATCTAGAGTGTGCAGTTGATTCTTACTGCAATGCCAGGATTAAGGGTTGTAGGATTAAAGGTGAGTGGTTACTATATCAGCCTACTGATTGGTTTGCCACCACCTAATCCTGGTAGCCTGGACACAACATAAGGAAGAGAAAGAGGTTTGTCTTCTCTTTTTGCTTGCTTGCTTTGCTACCTCTGCCCACCATGAACCGTTTCTCCTCTGTAATGCCTCTCTGCCATGCCACCCTGCCTGAAACCTCTACAAACTGTGAGCTAAATAAACCTTTTCCTGTTTAATTTTGCACCAGTTATTTTGTCTCAGTAACAAGAGAAAAGGAACCAAGATAGTAGCAACAATAAGATCCATGTTTAGTCTGCTCTGCTATAGCTTATACATTTTCCATAGAACATACTTCCAGATTACCTACACTCCAAGCACACTGCTTCCTCTGTTTTTACCCTAAGAATTCCAAGAGTCATGTTACATAGATGAATTTTCCATCTTTGATTTAGCTAGAGAGAGCTTGTAGTTAGACTTGTATTCCTCTTCTTCTGTTGGCCAGTACATTCTGTATGCTAGGCCTCATCCCTGTATTCCATTTAGATTACCTTTTTTCTTTTTTACTTTTGTCCCCTTCTGTTTTGTTTTTAACTCTGTTTCTAATTAAATCGCTTATCTTTGTAGGTCTTTCAGAGCTGCTTTGCAGCCATATATAAATATTGCTAAAAACAGAAAGGATGTTTTTCAGTTCACCTGAATAGCTTATGTCAGTAGAACCCCATGTGTAGTGCATTCTTAAAGGCATAGATTCGCACATCTCAAAATGCAGCAACAACCTACGATACTATTTAGGGAGTTTTCCTTAGGAGGCAGCACCATGTGGCGTAACTCACCTACCCCAGTAGTGTGATCTCCCTTCGGTCCTGTGTAGGAAGTGGGAGTTTCTCCTCGCCTCCTGTGCCAGCTGCTCCAGTTCCTTTTCTCCTGGGTAAAGGCACACTCATCATGATCAAAAGTGCACTCTCCAGGTGCGCGCGGAAGGCTCTCTGTAAGGAAACAGCAGGTGCTGCAATCACTGGGACACTTTCAATGAATATGCATGCCACCCTCTCTGGCACTCTGCTCCGCATGCCTGAGTGTTGTCTGACCACATGTCAGCAATGGAGAGGTGCCTCTCACTGGTGGGGCAGTCCACCTGCCTCATGTCCTACCCCAGTCACAGTCTACAGCCACCAGGCCCCCTGCTACAGAGATAGAGAACAATAAAAAACTCTAGATTTAATATTGGGATATTCTGACAAAGAAAATTTCCCCCCTCTTGGAAAGGTATTTGTGTGAAAAGAATTTGTATGAATTTGTCAACTCCTTGCAAAGCTCTGAAAAGCCTTTTTGAAATATGAAAAATAATCAAATTGTATAATGCAGGAGCTATCTTCAGAAATTCAAGATGAGTGAAAGATATCCTCATAGCAGTTCTATACCTGCTTTAAAGAGAAGGAGACATGGGAGAGAACCAAAGAGATTTCTGGAGATAGCTGTGCATAGAAAGTGACTTAATTCCTCTGTACCTCAGTCCTCTTATATGCAATGTGCAACCATTAATCCAGTTTATAAGGATTAGATGAGATGATGGGCCTGAAGTATTTAAGCACCAAGCTCTTAATAATTACTAGCCAGACAAATTTGGAGGAATTATTTTGCTAGAATCTTATTTTTCATTTTCAAAGAAAAATATTTGTCTTTGAATGCTATCTTTAATAACTTTAACAAATATTTGCACTAAAGAATAACTTTTAAAAATTTCATTAAAAGTGCTTCCTCAACTTCTGTTTTAATTAATAAATTAATTAATTTTTTGAGAAAAGGTTTTGCAGCATAACTTAGACTGGCCTTGAACTCCCAGCAATTCTCAGGTTTCAACCTTCTAAGTGCTGGGATTACATGTATGCAACACTTCACCCTGCCTTACTCACAGGAGACTTATTTGTATGAAATATATATGGGTATTACTCTCCTGTACTACAATGACACCACAATTTTCTATTTTTTAAAGAAATAGATATTCCATGATTTAAATGCAGTGTAATTATTAGGTTCAGCTCAGTGATCTAGTTTGAGGTATCTATCACTTTGTCATAGGGGATTATGACCACAGCTGGCTGCCATGACTTTATTTTGTCACTATCATTGGTGCTTGGTCTACTATTTCATTGTCATTTAATTTACTTAGATAATATCTTATTAAAATTTTAAACGTATATGTTCATATCTGTGAGAAAAGAATTTCATCAACATGACTTGCTTGCTTTTTGGTGTTTTTTGTTGTTGTTGTTGTTGTTTGTTTGTTTGTGACAGGGTCTTGCTATGCAGTTCAGGCTGGCCATGTGCTCACTTTGTAGCCCAGACTGGCCTTGAACTTGCAACGATCCTCCGGCTTCAGCCTCCAGAGTACTGGGATTACAGGAGTATGCCACCACGCCCGGCTCATCAGTATGATTTGAAAATATGCTTTTTTTTGTTGTTGGAGACAAGGTCTTACTATGTAGCCCAGACTGGCCTGTATCTCATGGCAATCCTCCAGCCTCAGCCTCCTCAGTGCTAGGATTAGAGGTATATGCCACCATGCCTGGAGAAAATATACATTTTGTTTTGTTTGGCTTGGTTTTTTGAGACAATGTCTTGCCATGTAGTCTAGACTAGGCTTGAACTCACTACATAGTCCAGGCTGGCCTCCTACTCACAGCACTCCTCCTGCCTCAGCCTCTCGAGTGCTGGGATTACAGGTGTGTGCACCACACCTAGCTATGTTTTGTAAAGTGACAACAACAACAACAACAATAATAACCATTACAATTAAAATGGGAGATTTTTTTAAAGCACCATTTTGTGCCAGGTCTTTTACCAGGGAATGTATATGTATTATCCCAAATAATCAGATCCTACAAAAAAGGCCTAAAATTGCATGTGCAGAGACACACAGTACCCTTAAATCATAATTTTTAAATTCTGAAGCCTCCTCCAAAGCTTTGTATTGTGGCATTTCTGTCAAGAAAAGCAAAGGGTAGCCTGGCACTGATGAAGGGCATGAGACCCTTAAAGAAACTAGAAATGTCACATACATACCAGAAAGAAAAATAGATGAACAACTGCCTGCTTACCTGGAGACCAACAGCTTCCCAACTGCACTGTAATATCATCAAGGGCCACAAGTCCACAGTCCCAAAAGCTTTTGCACAGGCTCATGAAGACTACCTGCAATTTATAAAGTTATTCATCTTGTGAGCTCAGAATGGGAAACATAGAGTCTGGGGTTTACTTAGCACAATTTATTTGCATAAGCAGGTAAAATCACCTCTTCATCGCCCAAATGAATAACAGTGTAGAGGCAATGACATGAGGGCGGGTACCACTGGTGTAGGGTGCTGAATTCCTCGTGCTATTTTAAGGAGCATCAACCTCATAATGATGTATTGTGTAGACTGCATAACAGTATGCCAAAACTAGAGACAGTCTTTAGAGGCTGACTAGTAGAGGTTAACCAGAGACACAGAAGAGGTCATCTGGTTTTACGTATTTCCCCAAGATAATCCACAAAGCGCATAATGAGTTCATGGTTTTCCAATCATTTTTTCAAGCATTCCCAGTACAAACACTATTGATTTTTTTTTAAAAAAAATGTCTTTCTGGCAATGTGATTCATTCACATCATGAACAAAGTCCCAGTGATTTGCCATCTGGAGACTTATGATCATTTCTAAGATGAAGATCTATGTTCCTGGTTGGTCCTGCCTATACAATAGTAGTTATTTTGTCAGGCTGAACATTTTTACCATTGTATGTGAAGGAAAAACAAACCCATACTATAAATTACTAAATTCAGTGTTCCACACAGCCAAATCTTGGATTTCTTTCCATTGGGCCAATTTAAAAGGCTATTTTTCATATATACAATGCTCAAAATGCACTTTTAGATGACATTGGTTTTAAAAAACATTTATATTAGATTTTCATTGTATTGGGATTTAAAAAACTGCTTCATATGAATAACATAACATTTAATTAGCATCGTGTGATACAGTCCATTTCAATCCCTCAACCCTAAACCTCATTTCAAAGGAAGACCAAAGATAATACCAGCTAAAACTTAACTGATTAATAATGAGAATGTTTGAGTTTTTATGCTCCAATATTCAAAATACTATAGCCTTAATTTGTGTTATCAGTAGAATCTCTTTGCTCTTTGATGATATGATTCATTAGACTATGGAATGTGTTTCAGAAGAATTTTTATGCGATGTGACAGCTTTGCATAATGCAAAATGCAAAATATAAGATGTCTTAAGCCAAAATATAAGATGTCTTAAGCCAGGATCCTGAGAATAATTACTAATTGTACAGTATATGAAGGTTTACTTGCACTTATGTATTACTGCTTTAAATTTAACTGAGACAGTTTGGGAATATAACAATATGTAACTATAGGGTTTTTCTCTTTAATTGTTCATCTTTAGAGAGTCCAGATTAACTAAATATATAAAATATTTTATTTGCAAGATTCATGCTCGGGAACTTACTACCATTTGGAAGGCAAAGGTCTGTGTTATTAGTTCTGAATGTGTTCACATTTTACCAGTGACTTTTATTTGCTATATATAAAAGAGTACTACTTTTTCCTCATAATTTACTAAGTTAATTATCCTATAGAAAGAAAAGTCTTGACTTTCTTTCCTTTGTGTCATGTTTAAATCCCACTTTCACAAGAATAGTGAAACATATTTTTTCAAAATAATATGGGATAGTGGAAAGATTCACCACTCAATCTTTTTCCTGCATAAAACTCAGACAATAGTGTGGTGATGTAGTCTGAAAAGGAGAAATATTAATACACTTTCATATGCTTCCTGTCATACTATTTTATAGCGATTGCAAAACCAAATGAGTGTACAAGCAAGCAAACAAATCAAACAACCAAAAATTTCAAAAAATAGAGAAAATAAACTATGAGACAACACTCTGAGAAACAGGTCTTTATTCGATCTGGTAGCTAGTGCAGATTATTCAGTAATACAGAAGCAAATGCATCTGATGATTTTAAGGGAAAAAAACTAATTAAAATAAGAAACACTCATGAGCTAACTCATCTGGAAAGACTGGAAAATTGATCAAATGTGTGATAATTATGCTAGGCTCATAAAATGATGAGTCTGTGATAGTTTCCCCATAAACATTCAATAGTTTTCACAGTTATACTAGAAGAAAAGTAAAATGAATCAGGTTATCTATAATTAAGGTGTACAATACTAGCTGGGCCTGATAGATAGATCATCTATCAGGCCTTCCCAAGACTCTGGGAGGCCGAGGTAAAAGATTACAAGTTCAAATCTTCAAATCTATCCTGGGCAATTTTGGGGATTCTAGCTCAGAAAAAAAAAAAAAAAAAAAGAAAAGAAAGAAAGGCTGGGGATACAGTGTCTTTTTTTTTGGTTGAACTCACAACCTTGCGTTTGCCACACAGGTGCTTATGCTACTGAGCTAAACCTCCAACCCTGGGGGTACAGGGTGAAGGCCTTAGGTTAAATCTGTAGTCTCTCTCTCTCTCTTTCTCTCTCTCTCTCTGTCTCTCTCTCCCTCCTCTCTCTGTCAAGAATGTAACAGAGGGAATCAGCTGTAGTCTAAATGCTTAAAGAGATTAGTCTCTCCTTTATTTATACAATATATGTGTGCTTTAATTTCTGTTATCCCTGAGATAAGTTCCCATGTGCATCCGGAACCTTTCACAGTTATATACTCGATGCTAGTGGAACCCTCAAGTCAGGACAGTCCCCAGAGACTTGAGAGTCTCCAGAAATCCTTGCCAAATATTCCTCGGGGAGCTCAGTCTGCCTGGCTGAGAACAGCTGGTGAAGAGGAGTAGACAGTGCCAGGTAGATTATAAAGCCCTGCCTACTAAGGTCCCCTTATACGCAGACTCTGTGCTGGGTACTTTCAGATGTGTTGCCTCCCTTTTATTTTTATTTAAAAATTTTTTATTGGTATATTTTACATACACAGAATGATCGCATTCATCATAGGGAACTTATACCTGCACATGACAGATCTTAATTCTTCCTTTTTCCGCACTCCTTCTCCTCCCTTCAAGTCCTCTTCCCTTCATTTATAAAACCTTTGTTTGCATTTTTCTTTCTATTCTCTTTTTTCTCATCCCTTGCTTTCTTTTGTTATCTCACTTTTAGCTTTGCCCCTGATTTTAACGTACTTATTCCCCCTCCTTAGAACAAGACAGCTGTTTACACTTTAAAAATGGACTTTCTCTTCCTCTTTTCCTTTCTCTTTTTCTACCAGATCGCTTTTCTAAAAGCAATGAAATATCTCAAGCCCTAGCAACAGAAGGTAAAGGAGGGGAACCTTGCGGCAGGCGGACTATTGTTCAACCTGAATGCTCACCCCCTGGCTTATTCAGGCTTTGGTGTTCCAGTCCCTGCCCCTGGAAACTGTAATTATCAAAGGCAACAAATTGGTTTTGTGCTTTCATCTTTCTCCTTTTCAAAAACCAATAATCTGTTCTCTAGAAACAATAAAATGTCAAGCAGCAGAACCTAAAACACAACTCAGCAAACTCTTCGTACGGTGCATCATCCTAGCTCTCTTCTAAAGTTGGTTTTGTTTTCAGGAGAGTGGGAGAAGGTCTGGGTAAAACTCCAGTCACAAGGCTGTGTTAGACAGAGGCCAGAAGCCCCATCCCTGGGACAGCAAACACCCTGAAAGTTCTTGGTTAAAGCACTCAAAAAAGAAAAAGTTGATAAAGAGTATTTATCAAGAATTCCTTTTCTCAAGACAAGTCAGATTGGCTTTTAAAAGAATTCATGTTGCTGATTTTTATATTATGAGGTATCACAGTTTAAGAGCTGCCCAATGCAAGTATTATAAACAACTAAGTTAGGTAGAAATATTATAGACAGTCAGACAGGGCTGGGCCCTCGCGGGAGTCAGTGCAGAGGACTGTGGCTGGAGGAGCATCTGTTGAAGGCCCGGCCTCAGGCTAAAGATGGAATGCCAGGCCTACAGCCTCCTCAAGGGATAAACTATGTACTGTAATTGGTATCATGTGGTCCAATAAAATCTAGATAGACATCAGTCACCCTGATGGGTGACCAGGGCCTCCAGATTCATGTCTTCCTGAAAAGGTCCTTGTCCTTCTCATGTACAGGTGCAGGATGATCTGCTTCCCCATTGGATCAATACCACCTAAGTGACTGTTATTGCAATCTTATGGGTTAATCACAGTTTTGTCCCATGTTGTACCCACCTCATGATTTTACTCTATAAAATTTCCTTTTAAAAGTGGACTCATTGACAACCCACTTTCAGGTCCCTCCTGTCTGTCAGGAGCTGTCTGTCTATCTCTCAATAAAGTTTTCCTGCTCTTAACTTCTGTTGTTTCTTAGAATTCATCCTTCAGTCTCAGAGAACTTGAACCTGGCATATCTGATATCCAGCAGGTTGGGAGTTACATTTATTTCTCCTATGTCACAATGACAATGATTTTGCCAGGGAAGAAGGAAATCAAGTTTTGCAGGGAGCTGTAGAATACACTAAAACAAAGCCCTTTTATATAGTTGAAAATGGTTGCTTGTGCCAAATTACTAAATACTAGCTGAATTAACTGTTTCCATTGCCTTTGACAGCAGTGTCCATAGACTGCTTGATATATAGAGGGCCAGGTTCCTGGGTTAATTCACCACTACTTAACCAACTGAAAAGTCCCAGTTGGGCCTATAATTTGCATGTGAATGACAGTTTCCATAAACGGCTTTCTATCTTCAGATAGAAATGTTTCTAGCCTAGGCCAACAACCCAATAAATTACTTATTGATGTTCTTCAAACAATCCTAGTTCAGCTTTTATTATCAGTTACTGGACCTCAGCTGTAATAGACAATGTCTGGGTTAAATTTAACTTTTCTCCTAGTGAGGTTAAAATCCTTCTAAATCTTTTGCAGAGATAAATTTGGTTATGGTGACTACAAAATAGGTGGAATAATTTTTATTTACAAAATTACTATAATGCAGTCAGGGAAACTTCAGAGCCCTTCATTAAGATGCTACTGATGTGGGTACAGGATATCCAATATAATGTAATGGCATGTGTTTAACTGTTTAATAATAAGTTAGAATACAATGTCAAAATACAAAAAAGCAAAAACAATACAAAAATTCCAAAATCCAGATAGTATTTGGCAGAAAAGTTGGGGT